TCTCCAGGCTGCATACAGCAGGAAAGGTCTCCAGAAGAAAGAAGAAAAGGAGATGCTGAGGGCAGGATCAAGTCTTCTCTCTGCTGTTGAAGCTAAGCCAGAGCCTAGCACTCTGTCCGTGCTTTGTAGTCCTCCAAATGGTTTCTGCTCAGGTCAGCTCTGGAAGTGGCATGCACAGAGACCTCTGGGCTCCTGGAGGTGCTGGGACCTGAGCAGCAGTGGCCAGAGTCAAAGAAAGACAGGAGAGGGCCGGGATGGGAGTTGCAAATAGCAGCTGTCAGCTTTCATGCTCCTCCTGTCTGAAGGACTTTGATCCTGATCCCCCTCTCTGCCTCCTCCACTCCTCATCACGCTCATTTCCATCTCCTCCCTCCCTATCGCTTCACCTCGGACTCAGAAACCAAACTTAATAACTCTCCCATGAAAGGTTCCAAGGGTCAGGCGAAGAACAAGGAGAAGTCCAAGGCACCCAAAGACGATAAGAAAAAGAAGCCACAGTCAGGCCCTGAGCTTCCCGAGAAGAAGAACAAGCAGAAGATTGATGAACTGAAGGTGCGTGTGTCGGCAGGGGAGGGGGAGGCTCTGCCTGCTCCGTGGCAGGGTGGCAGTCCCATCTGGAGATCCCAGCAGGATGGATCAACCCCACATGAGGAAGCATCTCACCTATCTGAGGGTTATCTAACCCTAGGTGAGATGTCCCTCAGGACTGCCCTTTTTTCTCTCTGTAGTTTGAAGGAGTCCGAGGTAAAAATCTTTTCCAGAAAAGGGTTGTTCCTGGGATAGGATCATCCTTGGGGCATCTTGGATGTGCCCTGGGTGGAGGGGAGAGTTATCCAGCCCAGCCAAGGCTCGGGGCAGGGATGGTCTCTGGTTCACGGTGGTGCCCATGGTGTTCATTAGGATTAATGAAGTCTGGGGTTCAGAAGGGGCTTGAACCTGGGTCTGGCACAGAGAGGGGGACACCCACCTCACCCACTCAGCTCTACCTTATCCATTCGGGGAGATGCTTCTCCCATCCAGATCCAACCCAATGAGCCTGGAGATCCATTCCTTTCCTAGAGAACTGGACACTGGGAGCTGAGGTGTCCATGTTGGCTCGGGTAGTCACCATATCTTTTCCTCACCTTTTATTTTTTAACCTAATTCCCCTCCTTTAACTTTCTGTCATCTCAGGTCTTCAACAAAGAGCTGGAAACGGAGTTCGATAACTTTGAGGACTGGCTGCACACCTTCAACCTGCTCCGTGGGAAGATTGGGGACAACGACGACAATGCGACAGAAGAAGAGCGGATAGTGGGGAGGTTCAAAGTGAGTTTGGCTGCTGAGTCGGGCCAGGGCAGGGGCAGCTTGGGAAGCCCTTGCCAACAGGTTTCTCTGCTAAAGGTGGTTTAGCAGGAAGGATGCAGTAGTAACCAGTCTGCACCGACCCAGCTGCAGCACCTTGTGGGGAGGGAAAGCCCCCAAGGGTAGCCCCAAAAACCAGGTGGCTTCAAAGATCACATCCACAGAGGTGGTGATCTGCAGGCAAACAGATCCTTGATGACTCTTACAGAAGGCCAAGGGGAAAACAGATCCTTCTTGCCCACTGTAAAAAAACTCATGCCCTGGGTTGTCTCTGTGAGCCATTTTGCACCAAAACCAGTCACCTAGGCTGGTGGTCACATTGCAGGGTTGCCCAGGCAGTGTAGGAGCACATCTCTCAGCTCTAAGCTTCTTGAACAAGAACCTTTTGGAGGGTGTGATCCTGGCCAGATGAAGCCTGTTGATGCCAGTTTTGCCCTTAGTACCCAGATTTTCCAGCCCATCCCTTGTCAACCCTTTTATTCCCACTGCTTATATGCTCCTGTCAGTTTTACTCTTGGAAATCCCTCTCCATGAGCTCCTTGCTAGCCAGATACCACTGCAGGCCTCCTTCCCTTTATCCAATTCCCCTGCTCATGGCTGCAATCCCTGAACAGTTGCTTGTGCAGTGGAGGAATTTTCCAGATCCAGTCTGTCTGCTACAGCACATGGCTAGAAACAAGGATATTGACTGAAGGGTGGTTTGGGATGGGGAGGCTTACCTCAGCAGCAGGACTCTCACCAGGCTCTGCACTCCCTCACATTAGGGCTCCATGTGCGTCTACAAAGTGCCGCTCCCGGATGATATCACCAAGGACGCAGGATATGACCCCAACTTTGGCATGTTCCAGGGCATCCCCAGCAACGACCCCATCAATGTGCTGGTCCGAGTCTATATTGTACGGGTGAGTACAACCATGTGGTGTGGCAAGGTGTGATCCCAGACTCCCTTCAGGGCGCACAGCCAGGAGCTGGTCCCAAAGCTGTAGGGATGTTGGGTTTTGGCGCTCAGTGCATCAGGGCCAAGGATGCAGCGTGGGAACTAAAGCAAATCATTGATAGGGACTTGAATGGTGTTTCCATAGCTGTGTGCTCTGAGCACTGGGAGCAAGCCAGATCCAAGTTCAGCCAGATCCAGAGGCCTTTTTTCTGGTATGTAGGATGGACCAGCATGTGTGTCCTAGTGCTTAACTCAAGTGGAATCATTTGGGTCAGCCTGGACTGAGAGGTGCAGGCTCCTTGCACAGCCATGAGACCTCAGGGAAGCACGTGCAGAACCGAATGGGAGCTGTCAGGGCCCAGCAGACCTGGTTGAAGGTCGTGGCACCTCCATGAACATGCACTGAGCTAACAAAACT